AACTTTGATTCCCAGCCAGATATCTAACGAAGAGATGTGCAATACAAAAACCCGCTGGTGGTCGGTAAGGTTAATTATATCCTCGTCAAAATAAGATATTACTGGAATTAAAAAGTTCTTAAAATGTTTACTGATATTTTTCGATAAGTACGCATGAAATAACTTGTGCTCGCGCTTCAGTCAGGCTGCGCATCACTGGTAAATAACAAAAAACATTTGCACGTTTATGGTGATATCAGCATCATACGTGCATGATAATTAATATCATAACAAGTACTGCAGATATAGGGAGCCGTTGGATGACTGCATTTAGTAACGTTCAGTGGTTCTTTTGTTCAGCAGAATGGAACACATCTGATATGTTGATTTGGGGGTGCAATCGAAGACTTTAAGATCAGTTTAACCATGTTTCTTGCTCTCTTGTAAACTATTAACGCTTGCAATGGCCAATATATACCAATGATAACATCCGTCTATGAAAAATGGATGGAGGACGTTGTCGGGGATGTTGCAGACGACAAATATCACGATTCCTTAATTCGATTCATTTTTCCATCTCTTTTACGACACAACTTGTATTCTATTAAAAGAATATCCTAAATAGATGGCTTAGCAATGGGCCAACCCAAGTATTTCCCTTTTTTCCTATGAGATGTTACAATATTAATTAATGGTCTAAAATATAGATATGATGTGAACCTATTTACTCGCACAATATTTGCCCAGACTAATTTCACCCAAACAGCAAGTTGCTCGGCACATAATTGCTCATTTATACAACCAGAAGAGCCATTAATATAGTCACATGTGTCCTTACTGTTGCCAAGAACATATCGTGTATCAAATGTATTCGGTTCTCATCACTAAGGAAATTTAAGAATTTAAATATCTGTAAAATTTAGCACCGCCAAACAAAGCGTGGGAAACTAGCAAAATGTTATGCCCCAGAGAATTCGTCATTATCTAAAACAAAGGCAGCGATTATTCCGTTTTGCTAACAGTCACTTCAAATTGGTCAAGGAGAATTGGAACTTTGATCGCGGAAAGTAATTCAAAACATTACAAACACAATCAGTGAATACTGAACGTACTTTTGTTTAAACTTCAATTGAGGGTCACCATTAGTTGTTGGTGCAGTTTGTGTGTTGTAAATTGAACATCGAACTATAAAACAAGGCTGGAATTGTTTTGGCACAGCTGATTTCAAGTAGAATACAGAAACTTCTAGTTAAGTCAAAAATATTTATCACCGTCACACTCGAATAATCTTTTTAACATTTCGCCCTCCTGTATAAATCGTTTGGAATAGTGGTGCTCAAGTTTTGTGCCTGACTTGGCCAGTGAAGGAGTTACAAGCCTTTCGGATCTGCACACGTCTCTTACTTCATTCTCACCATCTGCCGATACAGTCTACAAGTGTTATCATTTTCAAGTCTTCCCAGAGGAACTAAGGTAATTTTTTGCAGTTGTATTGAATCACAATCGACGTCACATTGTATGTTAGTAACTTTACACTTGTCAGTATTAAATGGCTTGGAGGAAAGCGGTACGTGCAGCCCAATCTTAATGGCGACCCACCGTAGGTTGACACCACCGTAAGCAAAGTCTTGGCTGCACAAAAATACCAATTTTCGTTACTTCGAGTAAAAACAGGTCAACGGAGACAATCCTAAAGATTTTGCATGACGGAATATCCATGGCATCGCGACAACCACAGCACTTCTAACAATGCTCTGAAAAAGTACTTATCACGTTTCAAATACCATCAGTGCTCTACGAAAAAAGACACACGTAGAGGTTATGCACGCAATCTACGTTTTCTAGTTTTTATTCAAAAGACCTTTGCCTTTTCACGCGTGGTTAACTCAATTACAAAATGTCTAGCATATGACTCAGTGATATTTATGCGATAGCCATAGAAAAAGGCAGCCCTAATTTGCTAAGCTAATGGCTCCATGCAACAATATTTACCTTTGTCCAATCTTAGAACCTCTTTTGGTTTGTTGCTGGAACTTTCCAGTACAGAACCCCATCTTGAGACCTTTCCAAGAACGGTTATTTAAATAAATTTTACCTCTTAACAATGATATTAAATACTTGTATAAATACAATTAAAAGGCTGATGGAAAGCACATCATTTTGTCTTGTCGGAAACCACACCGATGTAAGTTTTAAACTCTTTACGTTTTCTATGCAAATTATGTTTGTGCATGCTTCGATAACTTATCGACTTTTAAAACTCAACCTGACCTCAGGTAACTGTATGAAAACATCTAGAAAAGTTATTGAAAATATACTGATGATCTTTAAACAATCTCGTTCGTTCTTTGCAAGTCGAGACCAAGATTACCTCCTACAGATCCGATTCGATCAAAGTACAGAAAACAATAGGACGTCTGAAGGAATGACAGGCAATTATAATAACAACCTTGACAACAAGTGCTGCGTTAGTGTGCTGAGCAACTGATAGTAGAATAACATCTCTATAATTAGCCTAAAAAGGAATGCCGTTCCCATCCACGGGACAATTCCTCGTACTTCATGACTGCCGCATCGACGGTCCTTAGTGTTGAAGAAGACGCTTTACGGTAATCTTAATAGCAATTTACTTGCGTAAGTTGCTGTAGAAAGCCTAAGATTTGATATTCATTTATTCAACTAAACTCAGACTCCAGATATCATGACAAGTGCTAAAAGTCTTCGGCTATGTAGTGAACACACTTTAACTCACGTTTGCAACAGCAAGGCATTCTGTAAGGACTTTCACCTCAGTAATTTAACGCTGTTTTCGTCCAAGCCATAAGTTTTAGCCTTATGATTTTAAAAAAGATCATTGTCATTGAGAACTCACAGTCTTAATAACGACGACTAAATAATTTCATCACTATTTGCTAAGAAAGAGCAACTTATCCTTGCTCAATGTAATTGCAATAACCTGCAGAGCTTCAGTTTCCCTTAGGTTCTGTTCATGAATTTTTTGTCTTGATTCTCTAAAAGTTCTCTCGGAAACAGTCTTCTGTTCGACGAGTAAACCACGATCCTCTTAAGCAAATGGCCAATATTTTGCAGCTTGAACCTCGAGCACCTCAGTATTGTTCCCTCAGTGGTATTAATTAGTCATACTTATAACGCGAAAGGCTACCGAGATTAGTCAGATTTTTAAAACGAATTTTCACGTTTTCAATTAGCACTGAATTGTCCTCTCGAACCCCTCCTTCAAAAGTACACGCAAGAAACACATACTCATATTGAAATTGCTTTCTCTTTCCCCTAGCACACTGTGATTATGTGATACAGCACAAGCTTCAAAGTCATTCACAGGCGCCGCTGTGATTTCTAAGACGATAAAGGCGCTTGGTTAGACTCCAGACAGCAACAGAATGTCACAAGTAGTCACGAAAAGAGTTGTGTTGTATTCTAGCGATTCAAGTGAGCATCCATACGTAATAAGCAACAACAACGAAGATGAATTATTGAAAACAGAAACACTCTCTTCGGATACGAATAAGGCAATAGAACTTGATGTTGGCTCGAATCAAGGGAGCGAAATTGTCTTAAACGTTCAAAGCGATGAAGAACCTATGGCTTCCAAGACGTTTGTAAAAACAGAAACCTCCAGAAAAGTCATTCACACGTATGTAACAGACACAGGTGAGCCGCAAGAGTTCACCATCCAAACAGCCCCTGTTGTTACAACTTCACTTAACATTGAGAAACACGGCAAACAAGTTCAAAATGATGACACAAACATAAAGCAAATATTTGAGACAGAACTTCGTAGCCACCCCAGAGAGCCTAACGAACAAACCTCTTCAAAAATTCAAATAGAATCTCCAACGTACATACCAACGAAGACAAACCAACAACACATAATCCCGACGAACCAGCAGGCAAACGAGACGAATTCCCAATCTACAAACTCGTCAAAAACTTCAAACCCAAGGACATCAATCAAATCCTGTTACACATACCGAGTTAAAGATGGCGTCGCAATACTGGAAAATGTTACCAAATATCAATCTCGAAAACAAACTAAGAAAGAAAGGTCTCATCCGCAAAAAACAACTACGTATACGGATTACCAACAAATAGATGGAAACGAAGACAGCCACTCTGTACTTACAAAAACCCAAACATTAGCAAAAACAACCTCCCTAGTTAAAGAAATAAAACAAGACGGGCAAAGCAGTCAGGAAAAGGAAACCTACACTTGGTCGACAGAAGAACACCAAATAAATTCCAACAACAAAGAAAACGACCACACCTCACAAGGAGAAATACAATTTCTTCCAATAAAAAACACACAAAACCAAGACCTGCGAATAACTAAATCTCAAAGACAACGTCAGAAAAATTCACAAGGTA